TTTTAGTTCCCATACTGTTAAAAAAATTGGATAAAAATACACATTGCAGTTTTGAACAAACTCTTACCAACCCAAAGGAGATGCCCACAATAAAACAATTCTTAGAATTTTTAGAATTGAGATTTCAGTCACTTGAGGCTATAGGTCTACGAGACAATGCAGTATATAAACCCAACAAAAGGATAGCCGTAACTATGGTTTGTTCAGATCTATGTAAAGTTTGTAATACAGATAAACATCCGATCTACTATTGCAAAAAGTTCATTGAAATGACTCCTCCTGAACGATTAAATTGGATTCAACGACAAAAACTATGTGTGAATTGTTTCAAATCCGATCATAAAGCAAAGGTTTGTGAAGCTGGATCATGTAAAAAATGTGCCAAGAAGCATAACACTTTGCTCCATTTAGAGCAACAGTCACCTAAACCTTCAAGGGCACCAGCAACAAACACAAAGTCAACCACAACATTGATCAACGCTAATGAATCGCCATCCATAACAGCAACAACTAATGCAAAGTGTACTCGTAATTACGTTCTGCTAGCCACTGCAAAGGTGCGCATTATTGCAAACAATGGACGAACGTGTGATGTTCGTGCCATACTCGACTCAGGGTCTCAAGTGAACCTAGTAACCCAAAGAGTAATCAACAAGTTATCTTTAATTACCACAAATTCAAATCTATCGATCGAAGGTATTGGCCGTCAATTCGGGAACTCAAAATCTCGCGTAAATGTTGAACTGCAGGCTACTAATGGAAGCTTCAGGACGAGACTAGAGGCATTTGTACTGCCACAAATAATATCAGCACAACCGTCACGAGACCTAGATATCTCGGATTGGCAGATCCCACAGAATGTAGAATTAGCAGACCCCAGCTTTAACAGATCTGGAAGAATTGACATGCTGATTGGTGCTGAATTCTATCATACTCTACTTCAACCAGAACAATTGATAATAGGAAAGAATTCGCCACTGTTACAAAATTCGGTTCTAGGTTGGTTGGTGGTTGGTAAGACTAAAACTACAACAGATATTAAACCAACATGCGCTATTACTACAGGAGAGGTTGGTGAAATGTCAGAAATGATAGAACGATTTTGGAAGTTAGATAACATTGAGACTGCAGAAAGGGTTTTGACTGTATCTGAGAAATGGTGTGAAAATCACTTTACAAATCATGTAAAGACAAATCGCGATGGTCGTTTCATTGTACGCTTACCTTTTCGCGATGATCCCACAACACTTGGTAGATCGCGTGAGATAGCATTCAATCGATTTTGTTCTCTGGAAAGGAAGTTACAAAAGGACCCAAATTTATACAAGGAATACATAAAATTCATGGATGACTACGAGTCATTAGGTCACATGGAAAAAGTTTGCCCAAAGGATGTCAAAGGATCACAATATTTCATTCCTCATCATTGTGTCTTGAAACCTGACAGCACTACAACCAAATTGAGAGTTGTCTTTGATGCATCAGCAAAAACATCAAGCGGTTTAGCACTAAACGATATTTTGCACAAAGGTCCAACAGTGCAAAGTGATCTTTTTTCAATACTGTTGCGTTTTAGAATACACCGGTTTGTATTTACGGCTGATATTGAGAAAATGTACCGGCAAATTCAAGTACATGATGAAGATACAGCACAGCAGCTGATAATCTGGAGAAAAAGTGCTGATGATAGTATACAATATTACCGACTGAAAACGGTTACATATGGAACAAAGTCAGCCCCTTATCTTGCAACAAAATGTCTTCAACACCTTGCGAAACATAATATGACCAACTTTCCGCTTGGAGCACCTGCATTACTTAATGATTTTTATGTAGATGACTGTTTAAGCGGAACTAACAGCATCACTACCGCCTTAGACACTCAACAACAACTTTCGGAACTGCTCAGTAAATCAGGATTTAAACTGAGAAAATGGTGCTCAAATAATACACGACTACTACAAAACATTCCGATAGAAGACCAAGAAATCAACCTTGATTTAGATGACTCAGCCATAAAGCCAACAAAAACATTAGGCATTATTTGGCTCCCGAAATCAGACGAATTTTGCGGTAAGGCAGAGATGTCATCAGAGCAACCTATCACGAAGCGGATTGTGGCATCGGATTTAGCTCGAATTTTTGATCCTTTGGGAATTTTTGGCCCCATTACGTAACAGCTAAAATATTCATGCAGGAATTGTGGCAACAAAACTATTCCTGGGATGCGGAACTGTTACCTCAGGCTCAGCTAGAATGGAAGCGGTTTAGAAATGACTTACAAACATTAAATACTGTGAAAGTACCCAGACATATTTTTAATTCGAAGGTTCCCTGTTCGATTCAATTACACGTGTTTACGGATGCATCAGAGAAGGCATATGGAGCAGCTATGTACGTGCGAGCAATATATAATGATAAGACAATAACATCGAGACTATTGTGCGCCAAATCTAGAATAGCACCATTAAAGAAACAGACACTTCCACGACTAGAACTCTGCGCAGCATTGCTGGGAGTCGAATTAGCAGAAAGAGTTAAACAAGATTTAAAGTATCAAAACGTGCCAACCTACTTTTGGTCCGATTCCAAAATTGTTTTGTCATGGATAATATCTTCATCTGCCTCATTGCACACATTCGTAACAAATCGTATTAGCAAAATTCAAGAGATGTCACATGCTGATCAATGGCATCATGTGGCGTCAAAGGATAATCCTGCTGACATCATTTCCAGAGGAATAAAGGTTAAAATGTTCAATTATTCACATATGTGGTTTTTTGGTCCACTCTTTCTTCATGGAAGCAACGAATTTTGGCAACAGCCAAACCCAAAGGCATTTAACATCTCAACTGATATCGAAAGACGACAAGGACATACAGTTAACATTATCATTCAAACGACTGGTTCTGATCACATGATAAATCAAATTGATCATCGAAACTCATTCAGATACCTCCAAAGAACAATTGCTTATGTTCGCCGTGTATTTCATCGTACACAATCACCAACAAGAACACTTTCTCCAAAAGAATTACGAGATGCATTAGTCTTCATAATTAAAACTATTCAGGGCTCAGAATTTGCAAAGGAAATCTCTGATTTAAAACAATGTAAAGCAGTCAACAGTTCGAGTCAACTAAATACTTTAGCACCGTTCATTGACGAACAAGGTGTACTTCGTGTTGGAGGAAGGCTTGAAGCATCAACATTGCCATATGATGCTAAACACCCAATGGTAATTCCTTACAATCACTCAATAGTGAAATTGATGTTCAAAATGAAACATGAAGAAAATTCCCATTGTGCTCCACAATTATTGCTAAGCATAATGAGACAAAACTTCTGGCCGATTAAAGGAAAGATTATGGCGCGAAACATTGTTCACAGCTGTGTCATCTGTTCAAAGGCAAAACCAAAACTGATGGACCAACTCATGGGCAACTTACCGACTGATCGAGTTACTCTGACTAAACCATTTTTTACCACAGGAGTTGATTACTGTGGCCCGATATGGATTCATTATAAAATTAGAGGAAAAAGGCCAACAAAGGCATATTTAGCAGTATTTTGCTGTTTCGCGACTAAGGCTGTTCACCTAGAAGTGGTGAGTGACCTGACAACAGAGGCATTCATAGCCGCTATTCAACGTTTTATCAGCAGAAGAGGAAGATGCCAAACAATTTATAGTGACAATGCGACTAACTTTGTTGGGGCGAGAAACCAACTACAAGAGCTCCAGTCTACCATTTATTCAGAAAATGGTAAAGAAAACATCATTAAGACCAGTAGTAACAAGGGAATTGACTTCAAATTCATTCCACCAAGAGCTCCTCATTTTGGAGGACTCTGGGAAGCTGCCGTCAAGTCAGCTAAACATTTAATGATTAAAGGAATTTTCAACGCTTCATTGACTTATGAAGAATTGACAACAGTCATAACTGAAATAGAAGCCATGTTAAATTCAAGGCCAATAACAAAAATGTCATCCGATCCAAATGATCTAACAGCGCTTACACCAGGACACTTTCTCATAGGCGAACCACCTACCACTAATGTAGATCCTTATCAAAAGGAGAGCCGAATGAGTTTATCATCACGATGGCGTTTAGTTTCTGAACTCAAACAAGAATTCTGGAGAAGATGGTCAAAGGAATATCTCAATGAACTCCAATCAAGGTACAAATGGAAACAACAAAAGGCAAATCTATGCCAAGGTGATTTAGTCATTATTAAAGATGATAATCTACCCATGTACAAATGGCCTCTCGGCAGGGTGCAACAGGTGTATGAAGGAGAAGATGGTTTGGTCCGTGTAGCTGACATAAAAACAGCCAATGGGATTTTTAAACGACCATTACGATCATTGGCCCCCCTACCCACTGAAGGCAGCATTAATCAAAATCCAACAAAACAAAATTCTACTGTCACACAAACAAGACGAACGAATGAACCTAGTGAAGCGTTGCCAAAGCGTCGAAAGATATATGATGGCACATCTTTAATGATGACCATACTTGTGACAATTTTGATGATACCATTAATACTTTCGAAACCCATTGAAGAAATATCATTTCCAAACAAACCCGGAATATATTTTGAAGGAATTGGCACCGTAAATCAAATCATTGGAAGATGGAAAATTATCACTTACTTTGAGTTCGAGCCTATTCGAAAGGAGATCGAAAGGTTTCAAAATGGCACAGCAGCACTTCAGCAATTGTGCCCATTGTTACAGCAACAAGAAAGCTGTTATGAGCTCGTCCGTCAATTCAATAATACTAACATAGAATTACGAACTGAAACGAAGGTCATGACGAGACACCGATCAGCCAGAGGAGCCATCATATGGATGATATGGAAAATAAAGCAGGTAAAGCATCCAGAAGTCAATCAGCCAACACAAACTCTCATACCAAACGCGATGCCACGAACAAGATTTACTTTGGAGCCTGAAACAATTACATAGCTTCTCAAATTCTCATGATGCTACAAACTCTAAATTTTATATTTTTAAGTTTATATAATATTGTATAACTATTTATTGTTTAAAAATTATATGTGTATTTATATATCCACAAAATGTTGTAATTATTTTTTTTTTTGTTGACTTTTTAAAAAAAAAACACACATAATGCATTGCAAATCAAATTAATCATTGCTCATAGATTCATTCTTGAATAACGTAATTCAAGCCGGGCAGAATGTTAAGTTTAACAAACCTAACATATTTTAGCTCGCTTGTAATCATGCTTATGCAGCAAATAAATATTGTAAATATTTACGTTTATAAGTTCAATAACTTCACATATTGTATTTATGCTTATGCAGCAATATGTGAAATTTAAATTATTATTTTAGTCACCAATAATTGTAATTATTATTATGCTTAGTAAGTAATTCTATACTATATAAGGTAACAATATTAATAATAAAATTTGAAAGCGAAAACAATCGTCTTTACTTCACAATCAAAAATTGGTTATTGGTAGATGTGCCTTTTAACCACTGTAGAAACAAAATAAAAATTATTTACTTACTTGGCTAGCGGTTTATGTGCCTGCAAGCCTTTCATCTTAACTACCTGATTATTGGTTTATGTGCCTAATAGTCAGTGTAACAAAGTAAGCAAATATAGACATTGATACCACCTCAGATTACGTGGTATACATTGAAACTGCAACCACAATGTATACCACGTAATCTGAGGTGGTATCAATGTCTATATTTGCTTACTTTGTTACACTGACTATTAGGCACATAAACCAATAATCAGGTAGTTAAGATGAAAGGCTTGCAGGCACATAAACCGCTAGCCAAGTAAGTAAATAATTTTTATTTTGTTTCTACAGTGGTTAAAAGGCACATCTACCAATAACCAATTTTTGATTGTGAAGTAAAGACGATTGTTTTCGCTTTCAAATTTTATTATTAATATTGTTACCTTATATAGTATAGAATTACTTACTAAGCATAATAATAATTACAATTATTGGTGACTAAAATAATAATTTAAATTTCACATATTGCTGCATAAGCATAAATACAATATGTGAAGTTATTGAACTTATAAACGTAAATATTTACAATATTTATTTGCTGCATAAGCATGATTACAAGCGAGCTAAAATATGTTAGGTTTGTTAAACTTAACAATATCAATAATTGAGCCCCTGCCCGCTCTGTTGTAGGTGTTTTTACTTCCTCTGTTCGCGATACACATATTTAAATGAGCTACTGTCTCGAGAAGGTATCGGCCTCTAGCGTTAGTATGCTTGCTTTCCCACTCTATTGCCCATGCATTAAAGTTTTCAGCTATGACCATAGTAGTTCTTCCATGTGCATCAGTAACAAGCTCATGTAGTATATTTTGGAATTCTTCCAATAATTAACTGGGCGGTGCATAACAACTAAAAAAAATTATGCCATTAATTTTTGCCCTTACGAAGCCTGTGTTCCCTTTCTGTACCTCTTGTAGTGCGTACTTCCCACATGTCCAAATTGTAGCTTTTTTGGTTTTAACGCTTCCCCATAATCCATCATCTTTGTTTTTGTACGGCTCACTAATTAAAACAGTGTCCGTCATTTTCTTTTTTACCATTTGTTCCAGAAGATCCTGGGCGGCTTCGCATTAATTAACACTATGTTCATGCGTTCTGTCTAACACTCCTCTTCTAAAGACGAGACAATTCTTACTGCCTGCAACATGTTTGCACTGATTTGGGTTTCTATCTTTACAGAGCATGCACAACGGCTCGTTTTTGCAATCTTTAATAAAGTGGCCATTCACCCCACATTTCCTACAATGTTTCGAACAATATGTTTCACTTTTACATTTTCTAGCTATGTGTCCATAATCAAGGCACTCAAAGTATTTAGTTAACGTCTTTTGGAGCCTAATACGGCACACTACCCATCCTATTTTAATCTTATCTGCCTCTAAGAGTTTCTTTGCATTTTTAACAGGTAGATCTGCTTCTGTAATATCCATATTTAACTGCATATTAATTGCCTCTACGATAACTGCCTTCGTGGTGATTTCGTCGATATCTTTGCAGACGACACTAATACGTTGTGTTAAACTCTTAACCTTAGCTTGATCACCAAGTGTTTTGTTGATAATATCCTTAAACACATGTGTTTGATCATGCACCCCTTTTTTCCCTAATTGGATTAGTAACTCGCCTTTTTACGTTCTTCTTATTCTGGAAACTGCGTCACATAGTTGAATAAGTTCGGGTTCCGCTTTTACTTTCTTCAGTATATCCGCATAGAAATGCATCCCATTAGCTGCTATAACTATAGCATCTGGCCTTGATTTTACCGTATCGACTCTAGCTTTTTTTAATTTCTTCCTTATAACTCTTTTCCATTCACCATTTTCAATCCTCTCTGGGTCTAATCTGTTTAATCCATTTGGTTTGTTACCTGCCGGTTAACACCCGTAATTATTGAGTCTTGCTCAGAACTTTTACTCATTTGCTTTTTTTTAGGACTGATGAAACTGTTACCATTTTTCTGATCCACCTTCGTTTTGGATAATGATTTTTGAGTGGCTTGACTCCTTTTATTATCCTTAACCACCTCCGTCTGCTCGGCCAGAGCCAACTCGTACAAACATTTTATATTTTCGATAGTATCTCTTGTAGTGTCATATTAACCTTGACCACACACAATGTACTGTGTGCGGTAATTAGCATGACACATTTACCCAAAACACTTAAGTTTCAATCCATGTGTAATTTATGACATGGAAACCCAAAAAGCCACTTTTAAATATTCGGCGAGTTAAGTAATTCGACTCGCCTTTGTGTCATTTCTTTATAACAAATATTCTGCCGCATTTCAATATGCGCTTGGCTATTTGTATTTCCATATTTAGAACACATGGAAGTAAACTGTGTTTTCCGCAATCATATTGCATGCAATGCAGATGCAATATGATCACCCGTAGTACTACTATTTAAAAAGTGTGTCATTGAAACACATGATAGTTGACCAATAGAATAAGTAGGTATGTATTATTATAACCAATAGAATTTAAGTATATAAGATTTATGTTAATAGATAAGAAACCGAGCCGTCTTGGTTCGATATAGTAAAAAGTAAAGTTAGTTTTAAGTTGATTTTCATAGTCTTAAGTTGATTTTCAGTGAGTCTCAATTGAGTCTCATATAGGATCTTAAAATTATAACTAAATAAAATAAATCATTAAAAAGAAATTTAGTGTTTTAATCAAAAATATAAGTTAGGTGTAGAATGAACCTTTTACATGGCGATCCTGCATATGTTGCAAGGACCATAATGAATTGAGCAATTGAACAAAGAAAAATTTTTAAAAATAAATGTGAACTAAAGTATATAAATTACGAATTTATTTTTGTTAATAAATTATGTGAAACTAAATTAAATAAATAAATAGTGTGATACTGAGTGAATTATATTAATAGTAATTATAAATTTTTATTATGAATAACATTAATAAATAATAAAATAAATTGTGCAACCAATATCACAACAAAGTGAACTAAATTAAATAAATAAATAATACGATACAAACTGAGTGAATTATATTAATTGTAATTGTAATTTAATCGTAATTGTAATCATAATTTATTATGAATAACATTAATTAATTTGAGTTAATTATATCAGCATTATAATGACAGTGATTTTAAATAAAGAATAAAATAAATTGTGCAACCAATATCACATCAAACAACAAAGACCCAGTCTCGTGGCCAATACCTTGGCAACAACTGCAACCGAAAATTAATAGACCGAAAACCAACATGGGATGGTTCAGCAAAGAAGACACCATACAACAAAAAACAGACATCACAAACAACAACAGCATACAACAACCAACAAATTCAACAGAACAGGTAGTTGTAATTACACTAATTTTTGTAATAATTATATTATTTATCGCTTATAAGATAAATATGTATATAAAAAAATACGTGCATAAGAGTGTACACTCTAGACGTACCAATGAAATATAAATATGTACAAAAATTAATTATTTCATATTACTAAATCATATTATATATCAAAATATATATACAAAATAAATAAATTGATACAAAATAAAATTTTTTTTCCTATTATTACACAAATTAAATAAATATTTTTTATATATACAATTTAAAATAATGATTTAAAATATTATTTAAACTAACAAAAAAAAAAAAAAAAATCTTTACAATGTAAACAATATCTTTGTTAAAATATATGTGTAAAATAAATAAATATTAAAAAATATGTCGATATGTTTTCTCTCACTAAATTCCATTGCCACTTTTGACTACTACTTCATAGTTAATTGCCTTTTCTTCATATAAAAGAAAAACCACTCAGATAGGGTTTATTCTAATACTTAGTTAATGGAAGTTATTGCTACCCACATTAGTAAGGTGCAAACGATACTTAGAAACGCGAAGAAAACAAGCATTAGGAGTTATACTGACCAAACGATTAGCGAAAAAGTAAACAGGCTAGACTATTTAAGTAACATAGTCAGTACTCTGTATTTAGGGTCTAATCTGAAAGCAATAAATTTGAGGGAAGTATTCTTTGAAATATACAACCAAACGAAAGAACATCTCATTCAGATGTCACAAACAGTAAAGTCAACCACTGACGTTTCAAATCCAACTATTTCTACTATACCCGAAAAAGTAACAAATACAACGATGGCGACTTTCGATTCCATTATAGAGACTATTGAGAAACTATTACCCACTTTCACAGGGAAGCATGAGGAATTAAGCTCATTCCTTCGTAGACTAGAGTTCTATGGTAACAAAGTAGGCGAGGAAGATAAACAACAATTCTTGGAGCATATTGTTGACTGCAAATTGAATTACAGTGTTAAGACTAGAGTTTCACCTATCGGTTTTCCAGACTCTTTGGAAAATCTGATTCAAAAGCTGAGAATAACCTATGTACCAAAAGATACAGTGCCCC